AAAAAAAAAAAAAAAAAGAAGCAAAAAAATATAGAAGAGAGCTGGTTCTATGCAAGAGACTGGCTTTCTTTTAGAACAGTTTACAATGCTAAAAGTTACGCCTTTTTTTTTGAGAAAACATTAAAAAAAATCTCATTAAAACATTCCTGAAAATGAAAAATAAATGAAGAAATTTTATTGCTTTGAAAAACTATATTTAAAGATAGAAAAGAAATTGCAGTGCTTGCGAATAAAGATAGTGGCTTTTTGAAAATGGTGTGGATTGCCTATCAAGAAAGAAACGTTTCGAGAAAAAGATCAATGGGTTTGTAACGTTTGTTACCTCACGTTTCTGGAGGGGACTAAAGAACTACATATAGAGAGAAGCTTAGGGTTCTGAACATGATCCAACGGTGATGGAAAAGAGATCAAGATAAAGATAATCCAACAGATATTTTCACAGCAGAAAGAAGAAAAAGGATGCATACAATCGTACGAAATTTGTTATTTTTTATTTAAAAAAGTAGATTTTATTAATTTTTACATAAGATAATAAATTTTTATTTTTTATTTAAAATTATTAATTTTGTGATTTTTTATTTAAAAATTACTTAAATAGTTAAAAAAATTTATTATGTCATATTATTATTTAATTAATTTTTAAATATTTATATTTTAAAATAAAAAATTAAAATTTATTATCATATTTAAAAATTAACAAAAATTATATCCTTAAATTAAAAAAAAAAAAATCTTCGGAACCACTATTTCACCTGGAAAGAGCGGCAAGGGAAAACGCATCAAGCCTCTCAAGTTTCCCCTACTGAGCACATAGGTCCATGAACTAAAGAAACAAATGATAAGCCTCCAAAGTCCAAGCCACCCAATCGGCCCAAATTAGCTGCTCCGTTATAAGGCGTCCGATAACGGAAGTTTTTATTTTCTTTGATATATTTGATAATATGAGTTATATAAAAGGAAATAATCTTTTTATTTTTTTAAAATTTTCTTTATTCAACTTAATATTCATATTTAAAATTTGTAATTTAAAATTTAAAATTTAAAATTTTTAACATTAAATTATCTCATTAAGAATTGCAATAATAGAAGTTTGCGCTCATCTTAAAACGGAATAATTGCAATTTAATTCTTAAATTAGTTTTTATTTAATAGTAGTGAAATGGTACATTGATAGAACACACCATAACTCAAAAAATGATTAGTTTGAAGTTGCCTACAATCCTATATATACCACTTAATTCACGCATATAATAACGATGTGAGACAAATATTCTACAATCAAGAGAGAAGCCCTACTTATGGAGATTAATTTTTTTAATAATAATGAAATGATATAGAGACAAGACACACCATAATTCTAAAACCATTTAATTTAGAGTTGCATGGTTAAATTAATTAAATTTGACACTAGATTTCTTATTTAATATATTTTGTAATTATTTTTTAAGATAAAAATAAAATATAAATAAATATATTAAATGACATTATAAAAAAAAGTAAATAATTAAATTTAAACATCTCAAATTAAAAATTAAATTTACTAAAATTAAACAAAAGTAATGCTTCTTTTCTAATAGAGGTTTTTTAAACTCAAATAAAGACTCATTCAAAACTAAATTTGGAGGGTTTTTGGAGACGAGGTGGCAATAAGGAACTTAGACTTTAAATGAAAGTCAAGATTTAAAATTTTATACCGTTATATTAATTTTGCTTATCTTTAAATGTTTTCTTATGGTATCAAATACTTTTATATTTATAATGAACTATTTGAATTTCTTTTCTTTCATTATAAA